AGTGTCAAACTTATGCTAATATTGAATCGTGTAATTTATTTATTAGATAAAATCAAAATGAATATAATATTATAGAGCTAATTTCAGAAATAAAGTTGCTTAGTTCTACTAGAACATCAATTTTCTGATCGTGAAATGGATGCATGGCTATTAATGCTTCATATTGCAGAATGCTCCAATATTACTCCTTGATCATGTAATAAATCTGAGGTATATAATTGATTTGAATATTGAAAAATTATGAACACAATAATTATAAAATAATTCTGATTCAATAGTATCGCTTTTGAACTAAATCATAAAATCTAATACAAGAAAAAGAAATATTTACTATTCTTTACCAAATAGAATTCATTGTTAGTGATCCTTCAAATATCAATAAAACATTTTGGTCTTATTTTTGACAAGCTTTGAAAGATAATAAAAAAACTAGATATAGAAAACATCAGTTTTGTCAATTATAACCAATGATTTTACTTATAAAGAATTAGAGCATAATTTAAAGGTAAGAAAATATCTTTATAATTAGCATAATATTATCAATATAACTAATTAGTAAGTTATAATATTACAGGTTGGGCATAATACCATTAGGAAATCAAAAAAACATGCTATATTGAATGGCTTTGGTATTCCATCTCTTGAAAAACTAAAATTTCATCATCTAAAACTTAAAATAGAACAAATTGATCAGTTTAATCATTTTTTTATTAGATAGGATATTGTTAACATGAGCTTCTATTGAAATTATTCAAAATCTGGCTTACCAATAAAGCAAGCATTTTGGAAAAAATTTTCTAAAGAGTATATAAATGAAATATGTCGTACAGCATTTATGACATGTTTGCAAAGAAGTAAGATTTGTTTATTAGGATAATCTAGGTGGATTTTGCTCAGAATGTAATGAATGTAAATTCGTAATTTTTGCATTTTATCAATATTGTTATTACTGCCCATATAGAAGATGAATCTTTAAAGGTATCATATTCAAGATTTCTTTTTCATATATAAAAATTTAATATTTGAATAACTAATTATATTCTATAATACAGAGGGAATTAATTTAGAAATCACATATTTTGAGAAGATATATAAAATACGAAGCTGTTAAAAAGTTGAAAATTATCTTTTTAGGAATACCAGTACATAAATTTTGTATATATTAGTAATAGTCTTGTTATGACACACAATACTACACCTAACACAATTGATGAATACTAATCTTAACAATCATGATTCTTAACTTTCTTAACTTTCTATCATTTCTCTGATTTCTCTAATTTTACTAATTTCTTAGCAATCTCTAATTTCACACATTTCTCTAATATATTTAATTTCTTTATTTTATTATATTTCATATATTTCTTTATTATCTTAAATATCTATTTCATATTGATGTATTTTATATAAATATCCTGTATTACTTCCTCAATAAATGGCAGAGTCATTACCAATTCTCTAATAAATCAATTACATTTATCTCTAAAACTTATCTTTGCTCGTTAAACAATTCATTCTTCTTTAAATTTATATCAATAAAGATGACCTGACCCTTCAATTTAATTATTCGTGTTTATTTCTTCCATAGTATAGACGCACTTAAACTCCTTGCTAGCAAATAATCTTTGTTAACTTAACAATGAACATTTTAAGCTTAGCAGTGTTCGAGGTGTAAATCGTGCTTTTTCCTTCCTTTATCTTCACTTTCTTCTTCTTCTCCTAAAGTTTCCGTAAGTTTCCCTTTAAGTTTTTTTGCCCACTCTCTCAACCCCTATTACTACTCCCTCTCCCTATTCTTCACCCATTTCCTTGCCTCCTTCTCACTTCCTTCTACCCTTCCTAATTTTCTCCTTCTTACCTTCAAACTTTCCCTCAACCCTTTCGCTCATTCACGCTTCTTCTTTTTCCTCTTATTCTTTAAATTCACCTTTATCATCTTTTTCAACTCCTTCTGTTTCTTTCTCTTTCTCCAATTCTTCTACCCTCTATAATACCCTTTCTATTTTTAATCGTCTATTTGTACATTATCGTCTAATTGGATGGGAAGAGCTGATGGATCTTGATCCACCAGGGATTTTTATAAAAACCTCCCTTTAATCAATGGCCTGAATCTATGGATCTTGATTCTCTTGGTATATACGTTGTTAAGCTTAAACTGTTCGTCATTAAGTTAACAAAGATATGTTGCTAGCAAGAAGTTTAAATGCGTCTAAATTATGGAAGAAATAAATGTGAATAATTAAGTTGAAGGGTCAGATTGTCTTTATTGATATAGATTTAAAAAAGAATGAATTGTTCAATGAGCAGATATAAGTTTTTAGAGATAAGTATTGATTTATATTGAGAATTGTAGCGACTCTGCAATTTAGCAGGTCAAAGATACAAAGTATTTATACAAAATTAAATAATAGTAAATAAAATATGATAAATATGATCAATATAATAAATATAACTAATCTATCTACACTAACAAATATAATATATATAACAAATATAATAGATCTGGTAGATCGGTCAAATATGACCAATTTGTCATATTTGTCAAATTTGTCAAATTTGTCATATTGGTCAGATCGGCCAACCGATTCGAATCACATGATTGGCTATATTTGATCGGCGCAGCATGGATCACGCCTTCAACGTAGCTATTGATTATGGTTTTTCCCTTTTCCCTTCCGTTTTTAACTGGCCAACTCTTTTTCTTTTACGTTATTTTGGCCGGTACTTTAAAAAGATTTAGTATTTTTTTAAAAAAAAAATATTATAAATATTAAAAATTAAAAAAAAAAAATATAAAAAATAAAAAATAAAATTTCCCCTTTTAGTGAGTTTATCGTGTGTGATAAGAATGACTACGATACAAAGCTATCGTATCTGTTAATTGAAGTTGGTTGTGTCCTTCCTTTTTGCAATTAAAATATTCCCTCTTTTGGCCACTTCATCCGCATTTGAATTTATTATTATAATTTATTATATTATATTAAAAAAAAAAAAAATTATTTTATGCGATAGTTACTTATGATGTATTTATCTCATTTCCTATATCGTATAGGTTGAAAATTGTTATTGGTATATTTTTAATTTTTTTTTTTTCAATCGCTTCGAGCGGTCTTTTTAAAATACTTTGTCCATTTGCTTACCATTAAATCATTAAACACAGTTTCATACCGTGACCACAGAAATTATCTTCACTTGTGATTATCGAACTGTTTGTTTTTATCTTTGATTTCTTCAAAAGTTTTTAAATTGACAAGAATTTCCATATTTTAAAGTTATAAAATGTCAGTTATTTATATTAAAGAATTTCTATTATAGTATAGTTAAAATGATCAATTTATTACAATAATATAAACAATTTTTTTTAAATTAAATATACATGTACAACAATACAAGACAGGTACAAAAAAAATTTAATGAAAGAATATCAATGCTTTAATATTTCGGAATACAGTTAACGTAAAAAGAATTGAAATATTAAAATTATGCAGAACAATCTTTAGTTATAAAATTTGCCCAGCAAATATTATCGATGAACATATGTTTTATAAACGGCGGAAAGTTGAGAGAAAGAAGCTACAAATAAAATTAATGTGATTCAAAATATTCATCTCAAAAAGAGCTTTCATACAATATAACAAATTGATTACTAGAATATTCTTTTGAATTCGGTATTTAATGGACATACTTTCAAGTAATATATGATGTTAACTAATAATTACGAAAGTTAAGTGTAAAAATTCACAAAGTTGGTTTTTACATTCATCTGCTTGTGTTGGTAAATCCCGTCCCAATCAATATAAATAATAACAAAATCATAATCAGTCCCTATGATAAAAATAAAAAAGATTTAACCCTGTCCTGTGATTTTGCTGTAAGTTTAAAAATATAGTCACGTTATGTCAATTTACATTGCAACATAATGTCGATTACACCATGTTTGCATTTGAGCTATAATAATAATAAAAATGAATTTATTTTATATACGTATACGTTATTACAAAAATATAGTGATATAATATCGTGATGACTTTTAAATTCTTTGTCGGATGTTTCAGTAAGATTCAAAGATCATTTTAATAGCTAGCATCATAATATTCAATAGAGATCCGTATATAAGTCTTTCTTTGTTTTTCTTTTTAGTATTTATATAGTTTGAATCATATGTGTGGTAGTAAAATCGTGAGTGGTCGTTGAATTATCTCTCAATCCTTCGGAAAAGTTGTATTTCTTCGCCTAATTCTCCTTTTCGAATAGCAAAGAAAGTATTTTTCGTAAATTCGTTTTTATAATGATCTTTGAATTTAATTCTTGTTTTATTTTATTTTATTTTTTTTTAATTAATAAGGTCCATTTTTATATATTATACCTAATAAAGATATTAATAATATAAAATAAAAACTAATCCTTTAAAAACGAACTTTTAATTGACTTGAATAATGTAGTTACCGCAATTTTTTACCTTTAAATAAAGTTATTTACAAATAAATCTCTACTACTGTAACACAAAATCAAAAAGTTGGAAAGAAAATAACTTTGATTAGAAAGTTTATTAATGGGATATACTTACTATAAACGTGTCGCAGACCTTGGCGACCATTCGGTAATAAATAAAATCATCATTTTGTTTTATTGTAAGATTATGACAAGGAAAATACAAAATAATGTTGTAGAAGAAATATAAATTCAGCGATATGGTAAAGACGAAATTATTTAAATATCTAATCTGATTGATCTAAATAAATATCTAGTACCCAAAAATCAGTCAATAAATCAAGAAATACAAAGATCTTGTGAAAGAATTTTTCAGCATATGTTTTTCATCTTAAACCCATATTTTAAGATTTGTCAGAATTAGATGATCTACAATAAAGGTCTGATTAACCAATAGAAATTCAATAATTGAGATATAAAATAGTTGACCGTAAACATTTTACGCGAATTTTCTCTCTTAAAAGAAAAAAAAATTCCTTTAGCTTTTTCGTGATAAAAAATAAAGAATAATGAATACAGGAGGACATAGGCCTATTACTCGATCTATGACCCGTGCTTTACGCTCTTCAGTTGGATCATCTAGTTCTCAACCTACTCAACAAGTATCAGAGGTTACTCGCTCTAGACGTGGACGAAAATCGAAAAGTACATCAGTACGAATCGAAACGATTGAACAGACTGAACATGCTGAACAAGTAAACGAGCAACCTGCGCAAGAAAGTAGAGTTGAGAATTTAGTGAAATTAGAAAAATCAGAGAAATGGTGAAAAGTTGAGAATCGTGATTGTCAAAATTACCATTTGTCAATTATGTTAGGCGCAGTATCGTGCGTCATAACAAGACTATCACTAACAACGCGCACTTGCCGTATTCTTTGAGTCATCATTTAAAAGTTTCTTGAAATAATAAAACCTAAGTTAATTTTTTTGCTTTAATCCTTTTAAAAATTTTGTTTAAATAATATACGAAACGATACTCACCAAAAAGTAAAGAAAGTAAAGAAAGTTGGAATAAAGATAAAATTTGCGAGATCCTTTATTTATTTTCCAAGAAACAAAAGTTGGCAAACGAACATTCATCATGTTATTTTATCACGATAACGTGATTAATTTAAATAAATAGTTTATTTATTTATTATAATTTTATTTAAAGTTGTCATTTATTGATTTTAAAATTAAAGCATGTAGAAATGTTTTATTTTATAACATATTATATATTTAGATCAATAATTAAATATAAAGTTAATAAAAGATAGTTGAATTCTATTCTCAACAAAACAAAATTTTCATTTATAATATTCTTTATTATTTGTTAAATTTACTTAATGCTATTGTTCATTTCTTCTATGCTTAACTTTTCAAATAATTTTTCGACCTTGGAAAGAACTACGTTGAAGATAATCTCACTCATATCTATGTTATTTTGCGTTATAGCTTCATTTCTGACTTGTTCAATTCTTTATTAATTGTTATTTTTAGTATTATGGTCATCATCATCATTCGAATATATCAAAGGTTTTACAATGCTTCATCAGATATTTCCAATCAAATCCATTATTATCGCTTTCAATATTAAGCCTATTTATTAAATATTGTTTCATCTCGTTCTAGTTAATTCATCAGTTGCCATAATCAAATCTCTAAATACGAACACGCAAATAAAAGATTCCTTTCATTCTAACGATTTTCTTACCTTTCTTTGGCTTTTATTCTTCGTGTAAATCTGCAAATTGAATAGTTTATTAGTGAATATATATCGATAATAATTCTTGTTTTCTTGCATCCAACTGTAATTAAATTTCTCGATTTTGCAATGCAGATCTTGTCGGACCATTTGATGTCTCAAGAGTACAATACATTTCATCTATCTTCCTATTTTTACGAGAAATTATGGCTTCTGAATTTGATTTCTATATTTGCTTCGGGTACAACACCAGCTCTTGATATTTATCGGTGTACGTTTCTATCATATCATCGTTAATGGTCGATTCGACTACATCCCAAGCTACGCCACGAAGTTCTCCATTTATGAACAATATAAACTAATACAGGCTTGCTTGTAGTTGGTAAGTGCATCCATAATATAAGATCCATGTTTTAGCATCCAATTAAACAGGTTCCTTTGACCCATTCGAAATCCACGCCATTTAACAAAAATCATTAAGAGTAATTGTTACCTTTGTTAAAATCATTAATCGGTTGAGCAGGCTTATATTGTCCGGCTTCCATCATCAGCTGATGATAGAATCTGCATTAGCCGAATCAGCTGGAACCATATATTCGACAGTACGAGTTTCAATCGTTATAACTCTCTTTGGAATTCATCAAAACATTCTCGTTCAATCCTCACCCATCTGTGTTCTTTAAAAGTAATCAAGTAATCAGTCCAAAAGAGAAAACAAATAAAAGAAAACTTAAAAAATAGATTGTGGAAAGAAAAACTAATAACAAAAAAACTTACCAGTAAAAAATTGTTCGATGTTCCCTGATTCAATTTATCCCAAATACCTTAATACTTGTGTAAGCGATCCAACTTGAAAGAAATTGCCTAATAAATCGTCTAAAAGAAAATAATTAAAATAATTAAAAAAGAAGTTGATAAAAGAATCTATGAATCTTGAAGTGATCCTCGTTCAAAAAAAAAAAATAACAAAAAAATGAAAAGAATCAGACAAATAGTCAAATAATATATATATATATATATAAAAAAAAAATAAATAAAATAAATAAAAAATATAAAATAATAAGAATAAAATTTAATCGAAAAAAAAAAATTTACCTATCACTCTGGAAAATAAAATCATATCGTGACTTAAAGACGAAACAAAAAAACACAGAACTAATGGTAATCTATTTATTAATAAGCAAAATTAAAAAAAAAATCGTTTCTTTCTCTCTTTCAATGATTAATTTTTAGATCATTTTAACATATTTTTCTTAATTTCTTCATCTTACGTCGAAATAATTAACATTGATTATAGACAGTGACGATGCGGGAGGTTTGCTATTAAAATCGTGTTCAGACTATATGACTTACCTAGTATTGTAACCTGATATGATATTAATACCAACAACCAAATTCCGTCGAATGCTCAATATCAACAACCACAGATTTTTTGCTTTTTGACAAGCCGAGTTACTCATCAAATACTAAAAAATATCCTTCTTTCTATTCCGAAACATTGTTAGAGTTCTCTGGTTTTCTCCTTTAACTTTTTAAGACACATGGGCAAATTGAAGTAAGCATTGGCATACCTGTTAGATCTGCCTTAAGTATGGCTTAAGCTTCTTTGCTTTGTAATGATCAGTATGTTCATCTTGATGCGCAAAGTTAATGACCTTGATAGATATCAAGACAAGACAAATGCAAATCATTCAAATAGAAGAACAAATAAGAAGAGCATAAGAGAGATAGAATATCAAATAGATGCTACCTTGGAGAAAAATATAGAGCAAATAATTCGAGAAGAGAGAGTAAACTATTACATGGATATTTGGATGAAGAAACTAGACAAGAATGAGTTGGAGTTAGCGAGTAAAGATTACAAAAAGGAATTGATTTTATACATTATATTAATATTAGTAGGAGTTGTTCACGTGAATAAAATAATTGGTAAAGTGTCTTGATAATTTGATATTTTAGTAATAAAACTTTTGTTTTAACATTTAGTTGTATGTACACATTCGAAGGGCATACTGTAGAACTTCGTAGATCTGCACATTTTGCTGGGGTCAGTCAACAAGTAAATCAAAAATATATGTGTGGTAGCAAGAAAAAGCTAATTATCGAATTTTTTTGCGTAGGAGTTTGTATGATATATATATACCCACCATTTCTTCTTATTAAATTAGTTGTACAGATTTAACTATTTGTACCTTACTAAAAAATTATAAGAAAAGCATTAACGAAACTAAAAAACAAAGTTACGAAGCCATTGTTACATTTAAATGAGATTTTAAATACTAGAAAATTTTATGGTTAATTTACAAATGCTTCGTATTTTTGTGGCCATAGTTCACATAATACCAAAATAATCGAGAAATTTGGGCATATAAAAAAATGAATGTTATCATTTTTATGTTGATCAAAGTTTTTTAAATAAGAAATATCATATTTGGTTTTTGATGTACTTAGTTGACTGATCACGCAAACTTTTCGCGAAATTTGCATCAATAAAATCGTACTAATATGTAAATTCGGCGTATCAGAATTCTATTGTAACTTTTCTACTATTTCTATTATGCTATTAATTTAGTATTATATATATATATTATAGTAATTTTATTATGTCTGTCAATTTAATTGATTAGAAATCATTAGCGCAATATAATTGATTAGTTATATAAATATACATAATTTTTTTAAAACTTGTTTGATCAATCTATTATTTTGATTTCATTAATAATACATTTTTAAATCAGTTGAAAATATATTTTAAAATATTATATCGTTGAACATTTTCAACCATATATAAAAAAAAGATGAGTTAAAATAAATTTTTTTAAAATTTATATATAAGATAATAAATTTAGTGATTAATAATTAAGCTTATACCAGAGAAATTAATCTTAAAGTTTCTCTAATGATATTATTTAAGTATTTCAAGAATTGATTTCGTCAAAAGTGGGATTAAATTTTGACTTGTCAGGAAATGCTTTAACTAATTCTGCACGTAACAGATCGTGCTTAATGGGTGTTGTGTGAATAGTGCAATGCCAAACTTGCTTGCATTATTTGAAGTTTCGTGTTTCAGAACAAAAATTTCATAATCATTAATTAAGATAAATTTTTTTTTTCAAAAGGATGAAGTTAGTATTCACCACCTGATTTTCTGTTCATCATTAAGTTCAATTAGTATAAAAAATAAACATTGCATTCAATTTGTTATCAACCAAACTTTCTTGATTCACGATCATTAACTTGAACGCATTATTAAACCTATAATTTATGCCCATTATAAGTTTGGAATTTAAATAAGATTAAAGGCTAATAACATTGATATTTTGAGATCATTAACCTCTGTAAATTATCTCGGAGACGTTAATGAATTAAATTCATGATTAAGCCCTAAAAAATCAAATTAAATTTGAAGTTAAATGAATTTATCAAGGTTCTTAAAGCCGATTTCTTTTACCAATAAGCCATTGATATATATCAAGTGATAGTCTAGTTATGACGCATTATTACTGCGCCAATTACAATTAGCGAATGAAGATCCTGACGATCACGGATCTTAACTTTCTCTAATTTCTCTAATTTCTATCATTTTTCTAATTTCTCTCATTTCTATCATTTCTTTAATTTCTCTCATTTCTATAATATCTTAGCGATATCTAATTTCTCACATTTCTATAATATATTTAATTTCTTATATTTATGACATTTGGTATATTTCTCTAATAACTACTATTGATGTATTTTATATAAATAAAATATCTTGTATTTCTGCCTTGATAAAAGGGCAGAGTCGCTACAATTCTCTAATAAATCAATAGCGTTTATCTCTAAAAACTTATCTTTGCTCATTAAAATAATTCATTCTTCTTTAAATCTATATCGATAAAGACGACCTGACCCTTCAATTTAATTATTCGAGTTTATTTCTTCCATAGTTTAGATGCACTTAAACTCCCTGCTAGCAAATAATCTTTGTTAACTTAACAAAGAACAGTTTAAGCTTAACAGTGTTCTTTGAGATTTGGTGAGAAAGATTTATCTTCGACACTTCCTTATTTATTTCGTTTCTATTATACGAATAAATGTTGGGATCTCATTTTAAATGATGCACAAAGAGAATATAATAAATATTTATTAGTTTCGCCAAAATTATAAACAATATATTGATTATAAAAAAATTATATACTGTATATATAAGGTTTCGATCCTTTATCCGGATTAATTCTGGATTAAATTAATAAGGAATCATACATATCCGGATATTGATATACATGTCCAGAAATTAACCGCGATCTGAATTTTTGGATTAAGATGAATCTTAACGTTTTTATAATAATTAAAGGCGAAATTATTCTTTACAAATTCTTTAAGCTTAAGTTTATTGTTTTTCTCATTGCTTTTTAATTTTATAGTATTATATACTGAGTTTATAGAAAGAATAGGTTGTAATACATTACATAGCTTAATGATCTACTTAAAACGAAACATGAAAGTTATGCACCAGACCGAAATAATTTAATAAAAAATGGTTGTAGCAAATTAATACATCATAGTTCTACAAAGTCGATTAATTTATGTGTATTTCTTATGTTTAATAAGCAACTTTACTTATTTTATTTTAATTAATAATATAAATAGATTCTCATTTTAATAAAGCTTAAGCTTTAAGCGTATTTAATTAAATTAGACTATATATTTTTTTGAAATATAATTTAAACAAGCTTGACAAATGCTTTGTTAACCAAAAGACTAACAAATTAATAAATTAATCATAAATATATATAAATTAATAAACTAATATAAATAACTTTTTAGTTTTCAGTTTTCTACAACCAACATCTAATTTTTATTGATTTTTCTAATTTATATTTTTAAAAATGACTAAATTATGACAGACTGCAAAATTTCACTCAAAATGCATAAATATGTTCGACCGAAAGCATAATGTGATTGATGATAAATTGATCAATCAAAGAATTAAGAGTAACATGAAATGGAAGTGAGACAGCACGAAGAATCAGTTGCCAATTTGATAATGAATCAAGGACTAAATTTTGAACAATATTTAAAAAAAGTGTATTAACCGAGTGTAACTTAGAAATGTAATCGAAAATTATTTAGATAAAAATAATTTATTTAAGAAAGAGTGCGAAGATATGTATATTTAGTTCATATGTTATAGTTCATTATCAATATTTTTCTTTCTTTTTCTTATTGAAAAATTTGCTATTTTATCCTAGCTTGTGTTCCTTTCACAAGGAAGGTTCGAATCATATAACTTAAAAAGGATATATCATATAAATCTAGCTTGCTTGTCAAATGTGTTTTACAAAGAAACTTTCTTGCTTCACCTTTTCATTTTACGTTTCAAATAAATTTTTATAATTTAAATTAGGTTCCCTAAAATATAATTGAATAATAAGATCTAAAGTCATTTTTTCAAACTAGTTTCGCCATAATTATGAATATTATTTATTATAAAAATATAATAAAGTATATTATTTAGATAAAGTTATTTTATAATAGAAATTACTAAATAGATAACTATTCAAATATTATTGAAATATATTTTATTAAAAATTTAATTTATTTGCTTTTTAAAATGAATTAAAGGCTAGAACCAAAATAAAGAGAATGTGATTAATCAAGAAAATTTTAATAGATAAACCAAATAAAAACCTTTGAATATTTAAAGAAAAGAACATTAAAAAAGGATGAAATAATCCTATTTAACTTTAGGATGGGAGTTATTAGAGTATTGAGTCTTTTAAAGATTTAGGAAATATATATTTTAAGGAATCGGGTACATTTGGTAAGCTAATTATTGGAGTATAATTACAGTTAAGATGAATTAAGGAGTCGGGTAATGTTGGTAGGATAGTTATTGGAGTATCAGAGCAGTCAAGTTCTGTTAAGGAGTTGGGTAATATTGGTAGGATAGTTATTTGAGTACCACGGCAATAAAGTTTTATTAAGGAGTTGGGTAATGTTGGTAGGATAGTTATTGGAGTATAAGAGCAATAAAGTTCCGTTAAGGAGTTAGGTAATGTTGGTAGGATAGTTATTTGAGTATTATGACACCTAAGTTCCGTTAAGGATTTGGGTAATGTTGGTAGGATAGTTATTGGAGTATAAGAGCAATAAAGTTCCGTTAAGGAGTTGGGTAATGTTGGTAGGATAGTTATTTGAGTAGAAGAGCAATAAAGTATTTTTAAGGAGTTGGGTAATGTTGGTAGGATAGTTATTTGAATACTAGAGCAATCAAGTTCTGTTAGTTTTCGATATCTTTGTAACCCTCCTAAGGCGTTTAATATGTCATCCTTATTAGATTTCGTAATCCTTAAACTTTTGATTATATCATCATAAATAATATCTGACACATCATTATCTAATTCTACTTTTCTCTGATCAAAATGATGAATAAGTTCGGAATTCTTTAGATAATTCATCTGATCAAATCGAACAATTTGAGAATTTTCTCCTAATGAGTTATTTAAATTAGAAACAGCTTCGAAGTTATTTGATTCGTAATTATTCATTTGATTATTTTCTTTTATGTTTGATATAATTGCATTTAATTTATCAACTACTTGATTCATTGATGGACGATTATCTGGCTCGTTATCCCAGCACCCTGAAATTAGATAAAAATTTAATAATTATTATATATTCTTATAAATAATTTTATAATCATATAATTTACCAGTGTAGATATTCACATAATCTTCAGGTATGCCAGGAATGGTCGTTTCTCTAAGTCCTCCTAAAATTTCGATAGCTAAACTTAGGTCATATTCTTCATCCTTAATATAAAAAGGAGGTCGACCACTTGATATCTCCCACATGAGTACGCCAACACTGTAAACGTCACTTTTTTCGTTTAGTTTGAATTGTTGTGGTGTATTGTCATTTCTTCGTCTGCAAAAAATTTTTGGGTCAACATAAGGAATTACTCCAAAAGTTTTTGACTGATTAGTTGTTGCTTCTATCCTTTTTGATAATCCAAAGTCGGCTAATTTTATGACACCTTGATGAATTAATACATTGCCGGAATGCTATTATAAACATATAAAAAAAGTTTTAATTATATAAACAATAATATTAGGAAAATATATATATTATGTAAGATTACCAAATCACGATGCACAATTCCTTCGTTATGTAAACACAACACGGCACAAGACAACTGAAATGCCAAGTTGTATTTATCTCCCCAAGAAAGCTTATCGAAATTTTCCTTCAAATAGTTTTTAAGCGCCCCGCAATCAGCATATTCCATTACTAACCAATATTTTTTTAATTGATCATTTATTTCTAATTTTTTTTTTTAAAAAAAATATTTATAAATAAATTAAAAATAATAAAATAATATGAAAAGTTAATATAAATATTCGCAAAATTTAAGATTTTGTACCTTGGTTTGAAGTAATTCCCAAAAAACGGATGATATTGCTATGAAAATCAACTTCAAGTTGAAGTTCAAGCTAAATTATTAGAATTAAATATTAGCAAAAGAGTTTAAACTAAATAGACCGAAATAATCGAAATAAAACGAATTACAATCTTTTATATTGTAATTACCTCATGAATAATTTTTTTAACGGTGTCATTATTAAAGTTATGAAATGATTTTAATGCGAGATGTTGATTTGAGCTTTTCCAATTTGCACGATAGACTTTCCCAAAGCCGCCTGTACCAATTTCTTGAAAATTGCTAAATTGGGTAAATTCATAATATTTGATACTTTTTTTTGAGATATATTCTTCGATCGACTCATTTGAATTATTGGCAACTTGCATTTTGATTAATTTAAAATTTATTTAAAAATAAAAATATTCCAGAAAAATAATGCACGTTTTATAATACTGCATTAAATAAGCCACCAGGTCATTTGGGTGATCGGCTATTAAAATCACCTTACGGATCTTACTATGTTCCGTAAGGTGATTTTAATAGCCGATCATATTTTTTTATACATTTCTAGTTATAAATTAAAAAAGGTATTCTATTAACTTTGAAATCTTGGATAGAGATAATTCCTAATTCGTTCCGAGTTCAATGCAGGTCGGGTTCAAGGTTATGTAAACGTCATTTGCATACTCACGTTAGGGATTGAGTTTCTCTAAAAAATGTTTTAAACACGAATAAATAAAAAGCTTGCGGCATCGTTTTTTATTGTTTTGAATAAGCTTTGATAGCGTTGCACTCAATTCTTAAAGTTAATATTTATAAAAGAAAAGTTTTTTAATTGGATAATAGAAATCTTTATTAATTGTCGATCGCTGTGAACTTACTGCGGCTAATAAAAAAAACGATCCTAAGGGGAATTTCTAATCTAATGAATATTCGGAAAGGAAGTTGACTAGAGGACATTTTGAAATTGGCCTCTGCGCTGATCACTAACCACTTTAAGAAACAATACATTAAGGATTGTTAATTAAATTATTGTAAATAAAATTATAAAACACAACGATGTTTGATTATTAAATTAACATCGTAACGGTAACAAAGGATTGACACTCTTCAAACACAAACGATTAAAGATCGTAGTTGTTCTTTAAATTTTATTTCATAGAATACGAAACCGTCCCTACTAGCATGCACCTGCTGCTTTAACAAAACTTTATTTTTGGGTGTACATCCAAATAATCATTATCATATTTTGGATATCGATTTGACAATCAAACTATTTCTAAAAGGTAAACCTCGATTTCTGGGAAGTCACATAAATCTAGTCTTGTGCTTTGAAGGATCTCTTTAATTTAATAGCTTTTCTTCCTAACAAACGGAATAAATCTTCAGGTAATCCAAATAACATGTTGAATAATTCGAACCCATTCCAAAACGTCATCATCATGCTCTAATTCCGAATTCAGGAAGAAGTTTGCGACAGGAGTGATGAACTTTATTATTCGGCAATCTATGTTACAACATACAATGTCAATATTCTTTCCATATCAAGTTATCGATTCTTTTATGAAGCTACGATTATTTCTGCATAAATATAAAGGGACAATGGCAAAATACAATTTTACCGTCCAAGAAGCTTTTTATTTAGAAACATTCCTGGAGAAGTTTTAGCCCCGATTTATGAAATAAAAGCGGACAAGCCTTTAATAGATTGTTTAATCAAATATTATGAGTGGTTTATGCTAACGGATACACATTTTATTCTGGTGTTCAACAATAAGATGAGCATTCGATGTTCGTACCTACTTCAATGATACATGCATCTGCACTTGCATCGCCGATGAACGATTTGGATGACAATGAACTCGCTATCGAGTTTTTAGACGAATATGATATATAGAGTATTGGCTAGCAACTATCCGTTATTTTTACACATTCATTTGTATTGTCACAGGGGTATACAGAGCATGTATTGCATGTATTGGCATTAAGTTGATTGGTAAAGTGAACACAACAGCAATAAAAACAATATTATTTTATCTAGAGCACTTGATCGGGTCTGCACAAAATGATATTAATCATGGAAATTTTACTAGAAAACTTTCAGATGAAAGTATTAATCCAGTTGTATGTCTATTTTATGAAAGCAAAATATTGTCCGCAAAATAGTAGAACAACTTAATAGCTGTCATACATTAAATAGGCGTTTTTCATTATATCAATGTATGAATAATTATTGCTTATTATATTATATCATACGAAATTTCTGTTAAAAAACTTAGAAGAATATTCTAGCCAAATTTTCACATCCTTTTTATAAGTTATTTATTTTTTAAGTTAGAAATGATGATTTTAAGCATTAAATTCAATTTTTTATTGTAAAGAACGAATTTTCATTGTGGCTAAGCAAATTAATATATATTTAAATCGATGTCCCATTATGTTTATTCCATTGTCGTCATATTTGAAGTAATTTGCGTAAAATTGCAAAACCATTTTTTTAATAATTTATACCAAAATTACAAAATATTTTTCAGCCGAATTTACACAAGTTTGCGTAATGTCAATCAAATTTATTAATACACTTTAAAAATATTGGCTTGTAAATGGGAACGTATCCCATATTAAAATTTGATATATAAATAAATAAACCAATTTTTTGGCGCTCTTTTTCACGTGATTTGGCAGTCGTTTTGTAATTATTAACGTTTTATGCATTTCGTAAGTATTAATTTTGGCTCATTTTGTTTCCTTGACAAATTGAAACGAGTTGACTAATAATTCTCTTTATTACTAGCTTGGGAGTAATTTTTCTGATTATCGTATGACTCCTTACTCGAATTACTCGTATCAAGGAAGCATCCATCAATGAACAATACACCAAATCACTCTCGTTTACAAAATATAAATAACAATTCATTTAACATTAACGATCAATAATCTACGCTGATCCAGTAATTATTAATTTGAAAACAAGAAATAATATGTTTAGAGAAAGAAATGAAAATTATGAATTAATAAAATTACTAGATCAAAATCAAGATTCAGCTAGGAGAGCCGAGATAAAAAGAAATTATGACCTCGTGAAAAGGTATGTAAATATTTTGAAGAAATTTCAAAGACATCAATAATTCCCACGAAGGAAGAAATATTATGCAATCGTATGCCCTTTTGCCTGCTATATTCCTAATGTACTCATATTCTTCATGAAGGACCGGTCAGATTACTTGATACTCAATTTCGCTTGTTAAAAGAAAACATAATAAATCCTATTCGTATCGGTATAGGTTTCGTAAATGCATTATATATTCATCAAATTTTCAAGAATTCAAGAAAGTTCAAAAAGTATATGGTGTCTAAATTGAAAGGTTTACTTTAAACTTTACGATTTATTTCACAAAGAATTCGCGGTGCAAAAACAAAGAAGAGAGAATAGCATATTAACAAATGTGTAAAAGATTACTAATCGATAGTTTAATTACTTTATTATAACAAAATAATAGTAATACAACAGTTTTGACTTTGTTTTGAAGTGGTAATGAGAGGATTTTGTGGTATTGTATTAGCCTTACTGGTCCGTCAATGTATCCTCTCGCATCAAATGAAATTTCATTTTACAAAAGTACCAAAGATTGTTCTACAGAAAAATATTTATCGTTGAACAAACCGGAGTTATTTTCGAGTTTTATTATCAAATTCTTAAAACTACAAATCCCTTTACGCCACCATTTATAAATTATTTAGTTTCCAATACTGATAATCTCAATAATTACACTGCAAATGTTAAACACCATTCTAAACCAGAAACCTGGATTTGAATATGACCTGTCAGATTTATGTACGAGTGAGAGAGAAGTTTTGAAAGAATTTGACCTTCCATTTGTTATACTTTCCAGTAAGCAAATTTTAGAATTAAATGATACAAACAGTTATGATGAAATAGTTGAAAATATTGACAATATAGCAATTAGATAAAGCCCAGGTGATGATTATGTAGAAAGAAGAAGAATATTTATTCAACAATTAATAAATATTAATTTGAAGAATTAATCATTATCGCCACAAAATTTTCCCCCCACTTGCACTACGGCATTAAGAAATTAACCATGTGACAAATCAGAAATGATTTAACTCCGAAAAATTAAAACAAATCTAATCTGAGACGCTATGTAAGATATTTTTTACACATTTTTATTGCTCTTTTATAAGAACGTTATAAATTTAATAAAATATAATGGCTATATGGTATTAAAATCACATAGTAAATCATAAAATCCGTAAGGTGACCATATATGTGGCACAGTAAAAATCAGCCCATTTAAAGGAATCAAATTCTTTAAATATTTTGTGCATTGATTGAATTAATGTAAATTTAAATATAAGAGAAAGGGATGTATGATTTTGTTTTCAAAATATAATTTGGGTAAGGATTATCAAAGATGTCCATTCCCATATGAATCGAAATTGGGTGATTTCTTTTTATTAAAATCTACGTGTCCGATATTTGCAATTTATTTTAATACAGTAAATTGATATATTTTAAGTATTCCTTCTTATTATAAAATCTACGTCTCCAATATTTTCTTTTTAAAATTTGATTTAGGGATTTCAACATCAATCATTAACCTCTTTAAAGCAACTATTGACTTGTCGTTGAGCTTAAACCCTAGTTCTCATTGTATATGATTTTAATTTCGGTCAATGTCTGATACAGTCTTCCATAAACATTTTATCAAATATCTTGAAAGGATGACTTTTCATGGATTAAAGTCGTGAAAGTTTAATGGTGAATTGAATTATTTTTTTTTAAATTTTTGTAGAAAGACATTATATCAACTACCCAATATTATTTTGTAACACATCTCTTAGTATACTTGTACCAAAAAAAATATATACAGTATCTTCATTATACTGATCTTTCAAGTTTCTGAGTGAAATTTTTGATTGGCTAGAGATGAGGTGACCGAGTTGAAAAGAATATTGGTTTAGTTTCAAAACCATTTTAATTCGGAACATTTTTCAATTGTTAGAGGTCACGTTTATCTCAACAGTTTCTTCTTACCTGTTAAGTGTCTTAATTTATCTTAAAAGGGTTAATGCGCTTTTATTGTTACATTGGAAAAAAAAAATTTTTTTATCGAATAATATCTTTGTAATCGCCTTATTAATTTTTTATTTTTTTTTATTAGCTTTCACATATTTCCATAAAAAATAGTAAATATACATATTTTTTTTTATTTGATACTTATTAAAATGTACTTTGGAAGTTCTCATTCTTTTAATTTATTATGTAATATTAATTGTTATTAACATCATTAGTAGAAATTCTACTTCAGATTTAGAAAAGCTTTTCTTTTTAGAATCGATTGATAACAAATCTTTTAAATGACTTTCTTTATTTTAACAACTAAAAAAAGAAAGGAATGCAATAAAGATGATTTTTCTTAAAAAAAAAAAAAAAAAATACCCGTATATTCAAGATATTATCTTATTTAAAAGAGAATATGCGGAATCCCCATAATCAAAATATTAATTTTTTTTTTACTAAGATATATATATGCATTACCATGATTAAAAAAAAAAGAATTTCCAAAAAACTTTTAAGGAACTTCGCCAAAATTATCGACATGAGATGAAACATAAGATTTTATAAATGAGCATCAAATAAATAAAAAAAACTTTGCGTATAACCCATACTAAAACAGTCGAATATTTCTAAAAAAAATAAAAATTCAAAAATCATTAAAACATTGAATAATGCAGAGGAAATTTCATTTTATTTATGTAATATCATACCTGACTGTCACCGAGCTTGGGCTTAAAATTCTTTTTTAAATAATTTGATAATAATCTATCAACTGTTTGATTGGTTCAAAAGTACCTTATTTTTTTTATTTATAAATGGTCGGAAATAGAATCAACTTTTTTTTTCATAACTTATTTCAGCTATTAAATGTTTAAAACCAAAAGCATATCTCGAAAAATTCTTAGTCTACTTTTAAATATGAAACATGCAAAGAATGGAACAATGGTTAATACATAGCTGCGGAGATCTAAACAAAGTCAGCAAAAGATATTATAATAAAAACAAAATTAGTGGAAGGATATAGGGTACGAAAATATTTCTGCTCACCTATTGAAAAAGTAATAATTCGCCTTTTCGATATGAAGATTTCTTACAACTTTTCAAGAAGCAAATCTACTTATCATCTCACATTCAACGATTTACAATTAATCCTAAATACGTTTTGGAAAGGTTTCGACTTAACCTTGATGTGTTTTAAGGACATTTGTTATATTTGTTTATAGTAATTAATTATATTAATTATGCTCATTAGATAGAAGTATTATAATTAACTTATTTATTTTTATCTTTTTTATATCTTTTATATCAATTATAGTATTTATAGCATAGTTATAAATTTTTATTAGTAAATTTTTTATATAAATATTTATTTTCTTTGGCGTTGAAAAACAATTCGAGATAGGGTTTTTAAAAACTAAGAGTTCAATGAAGGAGGATTATAATTTATTTGCTTATTACTTTTACCTGTCTCAAAATAAGCTTGATTGTGTGATAAATGATATTGTAAATAATTCGAAAGACAGAATTAAATTGTCTTTTTCTTTTATATATAGCTGAACAAACGAATATAGTATTTGAATTCATCAAAAATCGAATACTTTTAAGTGGCGCAACATGTATAGTATATAGGACGATTAACTATTCTTTCCGAAATTATTGAAAACATGAGGGAATAAAATGATAAATCAAAAGGACGGAACAATAAAAATACTTGGTCGCTGCAAACCCAAAAGTAAAAAAAATAAAAATTAAAAATTAGAAGTAAAATAAGCTGTCACATTTTTTATTTTTATTGTAGTCAATAAATCCTCCTATTTTAAAAAATGAATAAGCAAAAACAGTTAAATTGTGTAAAATGAAAAAAGATTGAAATATAGAATGATTTCACTAAATTGTATTTAAACATAATCCCAAAATATGATTATGGTGTTAACCCTGGGATTGTACCGAAACCAAGATAACGAACGATATATGCTATGTAATATGATATTCCGGATTCCTTTTTATCCTGGAATATACCACTAATAACTTTATTTTACGATTTAATTGTGTAGGTTGGTTATCACAAGCGAAGCCTATGTGGAGACAAGAGGAAAGTTTGAAAGTGTAAAAAGTATTTTATTATTTGGAAGTCCGTAAGTCTATCACCAAGACTTTACAACGATCGGACTATATTGTTCTTTTGTAATTAATTTTTCCAGCATATATATACTAAATTTAAACTACGCATTTTTATAATAATGAATAATACAAATAATATAAATGATAATATAAAATAAACTAAATAAAATAAAGAAATATAAGAAATTAACTAAAACTCCGAAATGTTACATGATTGTCATAATTAACATGTATGCTATTCATGCTATTTACTACATTTGTCGCAGTACGCAGTCTTTGATCGTCAAACATTTTCAAGACTAACAAGTACTTAACCTTATTTTGAAACATTTATATCAATTATATAAGATTATAAAATGATACAGCAATATGAATTCAAAATGATTTTTCAATATAATTTTAGCGAGGTACTGTTGAAGCGTAATTTGAATTCATTAGATTCGAATCAAATTATATGCAGGTCCAAGACATTTGGAAAATCCTTATTAAATTTTTTAAATTAAAAAATTTAATCCTTTGTCTTCAATACATCAATTTCCAAATCGAGCTAACAAAGGAAAAAAAAAGATAATAAAAGCGAAACGAATTGTTATTTTTGTAAAAAAAGATAAATAAATAAATTACATTTTTTTAAGTCAGTAAATCAGCCATTTTGCAACTTTTCTAAATCGTGTGGGAAGAAATCTCGTTTAAATTAATTCATAGGCTCGCGTGGGCTTAAACTCATTAAGAAAGCGAAGAGCATACGAAATATTACAAAATCGATGACAGCAGTAGATATTAATAAACTATATAAAAATAAAAAATTTCAAATACCTTAAAATTAAAAACTTTAATTATTCATTATCTTTGAATTATGGATTAAGTATTATAAATTTTTGAACATTTCAAAGCCTAAAACTTTATGCTTTAATGAATACATCAGATCATAAAATTTCATTATGAGATGATTCAACAAATTAAATTCGAACCGGAAATTTTTATTTTATTTTTAAAAGTACTTCTTCTAAATCAAATGGTCAAATTTGCATCTATTATACTTGAGAAAAAATTTTGACAAAATTTTTATATTGAACCCATTTCTTAAAAAGTAATTAATATATATTTAGGTACGTACAAATTGATAATTAATTTTCTGTTTTGAATGAAGTTTACATAACTTAATGATTAAATCATGAAATTTTTCACAAACTTTAACATAACAACAAAGTATTCATTTGTTCAACTATTATAGCAAATTTTATTAAAAACAAAAAGAGTATCATAGCATAGGTAGGCTGAGTAATCTGTGCCGCGCTTCTTAAAAAGTTACGGTATAAATTTATCAGTGATAAAGTTTATTCTTGATTTATGATTAATTTAAAATTTATTGTTTAGAATAGATAATGTTATGCGCAGTTCTTTAACGTTTATGGGTTGTAAACGTAAACAGAAGATTTTATGATTTTAATGGTTTTATAAATAATAACGGAAATTCCAATCTGATACAAGTAGATGAAGTATTGCCTCAACGTTGGCGCTCTATACGATTATTAATTAATGTTTCGGGATTATTAATAAAATGCGAAGGGAAAGGGAAAATAATAAATACTAAATGCTATATTTTATTTATTAGGAATGTCGTACGCTAATTTTTAAAATAAGAATAATTCTTCTACTATATATCCGAAAATTATAAAGGACTTTATTGTCCAGAAGACATATTATATTGGTCACAAAACAAAATTCAGCGTGCATTTTTGGCCGGGAAACAATATTGGCCCGGGGACAAATTGGTCAAAATGATCTACACGGTCTAACTATTGCCGTAATGTAATAAGATATCGCCAATAGAGGCAGTCAGTGATAGGAAATCGACACTTTCAAAACCAGTACGGAACAGTTCGGTACGATTTAGCAGATCGGTACAAAATTATGATTGTACCGAACGACCATATATTTGTAGTACCGTACTGGTACTATATATTTAGGACCAGTACGGTACTTTTCTATAATCGTACCGTACCGGTTTCAATGATATTAATTTTGCATTCATTACAGGGATCGTCATATAAAAAATACATGATGCACGGTTCGTCGGATCAGTACGATAATAATTTTGATGATCGTACCGATCTACAAAAATCGTACTTCAGGCGAACCGTATTGTTACCATGCCTCATTATTTCACTTTATAAATTTTAATATTTTTCACATGCTATTAAATTATCATATTCGTTTCGTTTAACATAGTTATCTTTTGCTTTACCATCCAAGTATTAATTTCACCATTTCAATTCTGCCCTATGGAAAGGAAAAGTGATGTCCGGAATTTGTTTCTTGAAAATCCGGACGATCAAATTCCGGATATCAATATGTCAGGATTCGGAATTTGTGTCAAAACATGAAAATCGGAAATTTTTTTCTTGTCAACAAATTCAACAAATTGGTTTTGAGATGAATTCCGATAATTAAATCCCGGATATAAAGTTTTATTTCTCATAAAAATGTATTTCCAGTCATTTTAGGATACATGGGATGAGTGCTGAGAAAATTGAAATTTTTTTTCAAAAATTCGTTTCCACTATCTTTTTTTTCATTTTAAAAAAATTTTTTACACTTTTCTCAGCACCCACCCCATCTTTGATGACATTTTCCAACCATTTACACTTAGTTTTCAAAAAATTTTTTTTATTTAATTTAAATTATCGGATACCTTGATAAATAAAATAAAAATTAAATTTTAAATGAGCTTTGCTGGAACTTTTAAATCACATTAAATAATTTATTCTGCCCTTCTAATTATGTAAGTATAAAATTCATTGTAAGTTCACTAATTTGTAAGGAAAAAAAAAATAAAAAATAAAAATAAAATGAAATGAAAAGAAAAGAAAAGAAAATTGACGTCTTTGTGGTGTAAAATGTTGCATTTTTAAAATTGTCAAAGCCGCTTTAGTTCATTTATCTTTAGAAAGTTCTTTCTCTTCTACATTAGAAATAATAATATTTCTGCGCTTATCATCAAGAAGCACACATCCTTTGATCCTTTGATCCTTTGATGATTAATTAATTGTTATGCAATTTCCCATATTTCTAGTCGTAGTTGAAGTCGTGATTAGGTATTAAGGGGTGATAAATCGATTGCAATCTCTATGCTTTAATAATGTAATGTCTTGAAAATTTAAAGAAAGATGACAAGAATTAACGGTATCTATGGACACTTTTTGACGAGAAAAATAACTATATATAATTAGAGAAATAATGGGAAAGTGGATAATAAATATAGGATGATTAAAGATGAAGAAAAAAACTGAATAATCTAGAGAAAAATACTATTGAGAATATGAGGAAATTTGATTGTAAATCTTTGTATATTGATCGTCTTTAATTCTCAATTTTCAATTTTCAAAACTGAAGGTAATAAAAATGATAGAAGATAATAGTTTGAATAAATAAAGAGAAGATAAAAAAAGAATAATCATATCGCAAAAAATTTTCACCAACCTTGATCCATGAAAAAACTGGTCCTGAAATACACTATTCGTATTTTGCCTATCAGGAATTTGACGAATCCTACTAAGCGCATTCATATGAGACGTAACGTAGGGATTTATGCTATTAATTCTATCTGCAAAAGTTGTGAATTGATTTTTCAGATAATCCATTAAATGGTGGTCCCACAAATGGTCGGTCACCAAATTTATAATGTAGCGATTATTAAGACGAATTCTTGCAGCCTCAACAAGAATGTTTTTTTTCATTAATTTTTTTCCAGTCATTATTCTAGTAAGTCTTCCATTTCTCGCCTGAATAAAAAGATCCCGTGAATAACGAACATTAGGAAATATAATGTTATCGAGATTTGCCTGACTTAAAAAAAAATCCATTTTTTAAAAAATGCGATACAGAAGGCTATAAAAATATATAAAGCAGTTATATATAAATACCTATCCGGCTGAGTCTATGTTTACATGAGATGCATCCATTGATCAACTATTTTTTTTGGCGTTTCCAAATAAGTTACCTCACAAAGTAATTTCAAACCAAAATGTATGATATGTAAATTTCTCCCAGAGAAAAAAATAATAAATAAATTACGACAGCATGAAAATATAATTCCCAGAAGTAGGTATCGTCAATGATTTGATTATCTTAAACTTAATTCTCAAGTTAATTTAGGAAGTTGTGAAAAATTAAAACGTCAATAAAAATTATTGAGTCTTTTATATTACAAAACCACATTCGTCTATCTGTGTAATGATATTACTTCATCATGAGTTACCTATATTTTGATCTAACCTTCATATGCTTTCATATGAAAGACCAAAATTTCATCATTAATAATTTATCGTGTATTATTAAAAAAATTGAAATGAGATGAGATTGTTACTTACGTGTGAAAGTGAAAAAAGTAGGATTTTCAAAAAAATTGCATTCGGCGCGTGTTGAACACAAACGCCTATGTCCAACGACACACAATCTTACAAAAAAAAAAAACAAAAACAAAAAATGCAGGAGAAGTCGCGTAATTCGTTTTAAATTATTGTCGGAGATGATTCCTTATAAGTCTTATTATTATTAACCTCGTCGCTTATTTACTTATGAAATTTACACCCAGGTCTGGCAAAATTTTCGACCGGCGCGGGTCATTTCCTCTAATGAGAAATCAATTAACCAATTATCCATCCATTTTCATTTAAAATTTCTAAAATGATGACTTCAATCTCGAAAAGTTAATGCTGACATTCTTTTATTTAATTCGGGCCGAAGTTATGAATTAATATTTTTAAAGAAAAACGTTCTCGTGTGTTCTGCCTGTTCTGCCTGTAAACTGAAGAAATACTTTACATTTACGTTTCCGTTATATTCTTCATAACATATCAAAATTTTATTTTCACTTACTCTTGGATGCGCAGCGCGGACTCGTCTCCACATATCGCGACTGGGTCAAATTTCACATTACAAAGAAGAATTTAAGATGCCAGGACATTTTAGAAATGTATAGCATAATAATAAAATTTTAAGCGTAAAAGAGCAATTAGCTTCGAAATACTTTATTTTATATAATAAAATGAAGGTTAAAAGTTTGAGGAAAATTAAAATGAGTATGAGTAGAATTCAAGAGTGAATTAATGAATTCGATTATCTTTTATAAAAGAATTGGGCTTATTAAGTTCTTTATGATGAAATCATGAGTCTTTTGTTTTGGATAATCAAAAAACAAGTCACCAATTAAGTATTCTTTTTTGACCATTGCAACGATAAGGTTGTTTGAAATTTGGTATAGTTTTCTTAATAATCGGCGATGTTAATTAGTTACAGTATGACACAAAATCACGAGCAAATTTTTAAATAAAAATAACAACGCTTGGTGCGACAACCGGTGACCGCAAATGCGTGATGACCTTAAAAATGCAATTCATTTTTGAGAAATAAATATTTAAATATATCGAAATGGTAAATTTTTATTTTTTTGGTGAGATAAAGAAGTATTCATGAGAATGAAAAAATATAAAATTTCAAGTCGTACAAGTCAAATTTTTAAATAAGCGAACACAGCAATGCAACAAACCTATTTTTTTTGTTTTGATTTACGGTAGACCGTATCACAATATAATATTGTAACGACAAATACATACAAACATGATAAAAAAAAATCCATTTTTGATTTGTTTCATTATTATGACATCACTATGCCCACTTTGTGTTATCTATCTATGTCCTACAAACATATTGAATATTGAAACAACGAACGAAGCAATGAAATTCTTTATTTTTTTCCTTTTTTTTCTTTTTGATAACAAAAAACCTGCAATGACTAATTGTTTATTAAATTTTTTTTTTTTAGAAAATTTCCAGTTTTCATAAAAGGAAATAATACAAAGAAATAATTGTAAGAATTAATTATATTTATATTCGAAAGGTTGGGGCTACTGCAGCAAAATAAATGAAAACATAAATTTGGAAATTGATCATCGTCGAATTGTTGATTTTCATTTTTCGGACTAAAGTTATTCAAAATGGAGAGTAACTACAAAGACCTTTATTATAAATCTTATAAATCTGTATTTTTATCATATTTCTTTCAAAGGAAATTCTTCATTGATTAATATTATTTTATAGTTAAAGAAAAATAAATTCAATTAACTATATAATATAAGAATATTTATGAAGTAAAATTTGCTTCTCATATGAGTTCCAAGTCGATATTGTTTATTATAAGAAAAGTATTCTAGTTGCTCCGTAGCGACTATATACTTCTTTCTATACATGCGCATGTTCTCTTGCAGAAAACTTGAGTCGATGCTGATTGGTTCTTTTCCGTTACACGGACTTAAATAGTATTATTTCTTTCAAAGAATGCTAATATGGTTTCATCAGCTGAAAAAACAAATTTATCATAAAAAAATTGCGGTGGTTGATAATAATATTACACGAATTGATGTGTACAAAAGAGCCGAGGCGCAGTCAGACGTAGATCTTTGGAGTCAAAATTAGTTGGTCTAGTATAGTGAATCCGTTATACATCCGCAGAAATCCATATAAATAATTTATCCGCAAATTTCTCCTTTTTTCTTAAAAAAAATAAATGCGCATTATTTATTACTGTAATTTCGCATCGTTATCTTTTGCAAAATATATTGTTTTTAATCATTATAATACTTATGTTAAATAGACCTTTTATTCCTCAATTGGCTTATCGTATCGGCACATGATGTTTAAGAATTTTTTTATTTTCGTGATTATTTATTTTTTAGGATTATTTATTTATTTATTTTTTAAAAAAAAAATGTGATTAACTAGAGTTTTTTCAATTCAAAAGAAAATGTTTCTCTTTTTAACAAAATAATATGATAATTTCAAACTAACAATAAAGTTTCTTGAAAATTGAATGACAACCGACAACCGCATATAATATAATAAATTTCTACTATTGAATCAAGATTCAAGATTATTAGTATTGTTAATTGTTCCCGAAATTATCAACCATAATTTTGTTATTAAATACTTACAGTAATATTTAACTAAAAGCTATAAATTATGTTTAAATTTAATTTTTGTTCTGTCATTGACGTCACCGGATTCAATTTTGTTTCGCTGTTATTGCGCACTTGCAAACCTTAATTATGTCGCACAACACTTTTTCTTTCGATATTAGCATTTTTATTTCCAATTCAAAAAAAAGGTTCTTATAAATTAAGACTTGATATTTAATATAACATGTTAATTTTTTTTGATTTATAATTTTAAAAATAATTTTGGTTTTTAATTGAAATAGGTAAAGGTCTTTATGCAAAATATTTTGCGCCCAAGTGATAATTTTATAAAATAATTCTCCTTATCTGTGAATAGATTTGTCTGCAAATAATGGATATAAAAGTCAGCTAAAGTTCGTTAGATTTCATTATTTGTAAAATAATTATCATTATATTTCAATAAATTTTCTTATCAAAATTTTGAAATGTATTCTAGTGAAAAATGTAATTGAAGTGCAGCGAATTTATTTTCTTAACAGGGTGAATACATAAACTCAGACTGAATATTACATTTTCAAAAATTTTTTGGTATTTTTTTTTTTTTTTTTTTGATATACGATAAATATTAAATAACGAAGTTAATTCTATGTAGTATATGGACATGATTGATTAGCAGCGGCCAGCTTTATTTATTTCCAACTAGAAATTGCGAATAGTAGGGGACTTCGTCCCCATCCAACTTATTGATCTTCTCCATTTCATTTATTGCAGTGCACGTATGATAACATTTACAATCAATGAAGTACTCAGATAAGAGATTTTATTGAAATAGTAAAGCTTTTCGTATTCAATACAAACGTATTCATCCGCATTTTCCAAGCCTCGGCAATTCCTGTTAATTTGGCTTATATTGATTGATTCTTGGCACTTTCGAGTCATGTTAAATTTAACGATCACAAATTTGTTTTTTCAAGAATTTTAATTTTGTAGATCAGCAATCTTAATTTTACAATATTAACTAGAAATTACGATATGGGTGGTATGCTATTAAAATTGAGGTACGAGACATAGTAAATCATATAATCCGTACCTCAATTTTAATAGCACACCACCCATATGCGGGGGACTTCATCCCCCATTAAGCGTATGGTTAAATAAATATCTTATATTTCATATATATTATAAAATCAATAATATTCGTATCTACATAATATTTTGTTGTATTTGTAAAATAATTTAATAAATTTTGAAATAGGAGTGTTTTTCAGTGAATATTTTATTAAAGTAAACATTTTTATTAAAAATTAATTATTTAAATATATACAATTTACAAAGGTAAAGAAGTATTTGATTTTTGTTATATTCTTTAAGTGTTAATTTATCTGTAAAGGATGTAATGAAGCGATGTGCAGTTTTGACCAATTAGAGCATCGGTTTAATGCATCATAAGCTTGACCAGCAGAAAAAATTTCTTGAGACCTGCACTTAAGAAATTTTTTCTTTTTTCTTTTTTTTTTTTTTTTTAAGAGAATTGGCAATCCTTGCTCAGTGGTTAAGTCATGAGCCCCTATTAAGCTAAAGATTCATTACACAGCAATAGGCCATAGTTCAGGTATCATGAAATACATAAAACTAGATGATTTTCCATAAGAAATTGCTTTGTAACTGAACATGTGAACATATATACTAATATGCGTTATACTTTGGTTAATCGATCTGTCGATCAACATTAATCATGCCTAAATACTACACAGCATTAGAACATGTAAATGCAAACAAAGCCAAGGATTGACAGAAACTTA